GAGCGATGCACTTCAAGAGAATCGGTAATGCAAGGATTGTGTGTGTAATCGTTGAGAATTTCAACGAAATTAAATGAACATAGAATGTTTAATTAATTAGTACAGTTTAATTTCGTGGGGCTGAAAACAGGGACATTGAATTCCAAGTAGGGAAAGACTGGAATCGACCGATTGAACGTTTCGAAAATTCGGAAACTCGTTAACCGGTTTGGCCAATGAACGGTTCATGTATATACAGTGGCGTTCAACAGTTTTTCGAACTTTTCTACAGAATATAGCCTCTAGGGCCTCGTCGTTGCTACGTATAAAGAACACAGAGGATACTTTTAAAAAATCAGCAGCATCCTACACGTTTCTTCAGAAATAAATAAATAATACCAAAACTCGAACACGTGACTCTTCGAATACAACGAAAAGGAAATGATCTTTTATAGCATCCATCCCTGTAAACAGTCGTTATCTATCACACTAACAAAAATTCCTCCGAACTCATCTTCCGAAAAGCGATCTAGCCGGAAACTGTTGAACACCTATAACATCTCTGAGCGTCTGGTGTCCGTGAGCAGTGTCTGTCACACGTATACGTGCACGTAACCGGCGATACATGTGTGCATATGCACTTAGCGGTGCACCATCGGGGTACCCATAGTTGGCACGTGCCAACCATCACAATGGATACGACCATCTGCACTCCTTCTTATAGAAAAATCAGAGTCGTAGGGACACGGGCGTTCGCCCGATTCCGCGTCCCCTTCTAGTCCGTTATACGAACGAACGAGCGAGCGAGCGTACGACTCGTTTCGCAGGGTGGATCAGACATAGAGCAAGAAGGCCAAGGGGAGGCAACGCCTTGGTTCGCCAGAAATTCATTTCTCGAAATCGAGCCTCTATCGAGCATATCGAGGTTCGCTTGAAAACAAGCAACGCTTCGCGCGTGAGACGACGTAACGTCGATACGACTCGTTTCGCAGGGTGGGTCAGACATAGAGCAAGAAGGCCAAGGGGAGGCAACGCCTTGGTTCGCCAGAAATTCATTTCTCGAAATCGAGTCTATCGAGCATATCGAGGTTCAACGCTTCGCGCGTGAAATGATGTAACGTCGATACGTCGATCGAATCGGAAGTGCTTCCCAAGATGTTGCGTGCAACGTGTTACGTGTCGCGACGTGGAAGGTGCGCGATTTGGCAGCTGCGAGCGAGGGGTTTCACGTACCCCCCCGACGTACGTGGCAGAAAGCAGCTGAGCTACCCCCATGGCACCGCGCGCGCGCGTTGTACACGTTCGATTCCCCACAGCGAATAATCTTTGCAGTTAGGACTGCTGGGAAACGACCCGGTGGATCATACGTTCAACTGTCCGATGCTCGTTCCGCCGAGTCAACCACCATCGCCGCCACCCTCGGCTCGCCTTCTCGCTCCCTCCTCACGGGGGAGCGCGCCCTTTCCTTCTCCGTTCGTTCGTTCGCGCACTCTCGACTAATACGTCTGGCTCGGTCCGGTTCTCTGCCATTCTGTCCCATATAGTTTCATAGAAACGCTCGTCCGCAGAAGAATCGCCGACAGATTTTTCCGATATAGTCACCGGATGAACGAGGGAACAGGTTTCTCGTAACGATCGAGCGACCGTTGGCGCGAACGAGATCTTCCGAAATGGCGCTCTAACGATTATTAATCCTTCGCGCTACAGAATTCTTTCGTTAGAGATACTCGACGTTTTTTAATCGAATACCAACGACATTCTTTCGAAGTTAACGAGGAATCGCACGTAATTTGAAGAAAGGGGCTGTTTTAACACTGCGTACCGGCTACTTTTCAGAAAACTGAATTGTTCGGAGGTTTTCAGTGAGATCAACTTATATTGATGTACATACGAAAACTCGGATATATTGTTATGTAATGTATTTTAAATGGACAATCAATTTGAATCAAGTTTCATATTTTTCCAGATACTATAGTAATTAGCGAAATTGCGTAGCTAAGTGTCTTTATACGAAAACGAGATTTCTCGTTGCCAATACGCAATGTGTTAATATTGTACATGTCGATGCATGGGAGGTTTAATGTTAAATGTCACACTCTATAATTTTGCTGTGTCGAATCAATTGGCCACTGAGGCGCCTACGGGATGCAAAGGGTTAAAAGATCGGGGAATCTCTTTTTGTATATTTTATACATATATATTTATATATATGTAAAACATTGTACATGGACTTATGGGCCAGCTGTGGCCTAATGTCTTTATTTTATTAAAAAAACATTAAATAAATTTCATAGTTTCACCGTATGAAAAAAAATGGTGACCTCTCGAGTGCAAAGGGTGAACACTAGAACTACCAGACTCCTCATCCACCTTACTAATCGCCAGAACTTCTTCTCGTAATTATGAAGATGATCTTCATAACAATATTTCCACCGTATGAAAACAAACGGTGACCTCCCGAGTGCAAAGGGTTAACTCCTTCAATCTCAATCTCCTCATGCTTTTGTACTCTCCGGCAATCGAGCGAAACCGTTATCGATACAAAATATTTTCGGCGTGTAAACGGCGGTTGGCCTCTTCCCGCGACCCGCCCGTTTCAATGGTGAATCCCGTATACATTGATACACGTCCAGGGAAACGAGCAGGTACCTGCCGTGTGAAAATCTCCGAAGAATGCGAGGGTGGTATCGAAGATCAGGTGAAGCATTGTGATCGCCAGAATGAAAAAACGGACCGGAGTCGTACCTGCCGAGAACTGCATCCTCCGGAATAGTCGGTGCATCAACCGACGGCGTCGAGACCGGGGAGGGACGCGGCGGGCCGGGGGGTGAAGGGCCCGGGTCGAGCCGGACCGAGACAGGACGAGACGGGACGGAACGGGGCAGAGACGGAGCGATCGCCGCTCGAAAGAACGAGAGAGACGGCAATGGACCCTTTCAATGCGAGCAACTCCTACGGTCGGCAACCTTTTCCGCTCTGCTATCGGAATCGAGGAGCCCCATAGTCCGTGAATGACCGAAATCCTCCCATACGCGAGAGGGACACACGATCCGAGCGGAGAACCGGCGATGGGGGTGCGCCGGATTACTCGACGCAAATTTTCCAGGATCGCGTGCACCGGTCGTGTTTTTCCATTTTCTTCGACGCTAATTTTCCAGGATCGTACCGGTGTAGTATTTTTAGATTTTCTTGGACGCAAATTTTCCAGGATCATATATACGACCGGTGTAGTCGTGTTTTTCGATTTTCCTAGACGCAAATTTTCCAGAATCACGTATACGACCGGTGTAGTGTTTTTGGATTTTCCTGGACATTAGGCAGGTTGCATGTTGGAACTGTGATCGATTAACCTTTGCACTCGGATGTTTCTTACTAGAAATATTTAATATTCCTGAAGATTTTCAACGTGATTCAATATATCTATTACTCGGTTCATTCGAATTCGAAGTGAATATTATTGCACTGTAATCAACTATTATAGTTAAAAGGAAATATAGGCGTAACATATGCTTAGAATTCTTCGTTTTTCCCAATAAATGATTAATGACAAAGCAGCCGTGTCGACCAGACTTGAGGAATATATCATAGGCCAAGGGGTTAACGGGGTCTTTGGGGAAACCCGGGAGAAAAGTGCGAATGGTTCCGAATTGAGGTCACTGAATGATGTTATGCTTTAGATGGAAAAATTGGAGTTGGCGAGGTAGGAATGAAAATGATTAATTAGAATCCGTTGAAATGCAATGGCGAGTGAGACCGTGATGATTTCGGGGGTAGTTTGATATGCATCGATGGTGTTTAATGCGCGTGGAGTCAAAGCGAAATTATTTTATTACCTGTGTGTTAGCTTAAAGGTAAACTTTTACTTCGAGTGGACAATGTCTGCATTTCTAAACTGCCGATGGAAACATTTTACACGAGCTTGGTAGCGGAGGTAAATAATACCGGAAGTAGTTGACCGCAGGTTTACCGACAGGATTTTCATCCGTTTCGAATTTGTTCAGGGGAATTACAGAAAGTATTTAGTTTCTGCCACCTGTACCGATTTTTACCTGTATGGAACTGGTCGATTTCACTCGTATCGAATTTTATAAGCATCATTTGGTATATGTTTCGATCAATTTTTATTAACACAGTGATAAAACATGTATCCCGATTGTTTACTCTTAAACCTTTAATTTCTAAGATCTAAATGAACCGATAACAATTTCCCTGAGAACGATAGAACAAACTGTACAGTAAATCTATTGTTAACTCTTTGCACTCGGTAGGCGACTATTTTAAACCTCGTTTAAAATTATCTATTCTAAATTATCGTCGTAATTTCGCGAACTGCCACACCATTTAAGGAAATATTCAATTTGATTAGAACTGATTACTGGTTTAACCCTTTGAAGTTGTTTCTCCAAGAAATAACCTGCACTCAACATATTAACCCTTTGCACTCGAGAGGTGACTCTCAGTCATCACTTGATTCGATGCAACAAGACTATAAAGTTGAATATTTTAATATTCAATATTTCACGTAACAATACGAAGTTTAATATTTTTCTATGAATTTATCTATGAATTATCGTTAAATCAATTTCAAAAAATACCACCTATACCTCGTCAAAAAGTGTCGAATATTTCCATTGAAAAACTTCCGAGTGCAAAAGGTTACCAAACAACAAATCCTCCACAACAATTATCTCTCCCATTGCAGGGGTGGCAAGATTGCACTGGCACATCCTGTAACCCCGTGCATGCAAGTGAACGTCGGAAAGAGAGGAGAAACGACCAAACGAAAGAACGAACGAACGGACGGACGGACGTAACGAAAAACGGCGGCAAAGAGGCAGAAAAGGGCCCCCCATAGTGGTCGGCCTAAACAGAGAATTCCGCGTTCCGTTCTCCCTGCATACCCTGAGAAGATTTAGGCGGGCCCTTTCCCAGTTCCCGATTGGTCGGCCCTTCCCCCCACCACTCGCCGCCGCCCCGTATAAAGTCACAAGTTTCCCGCCTGATCGAGTAGTTGGTCTCGACGAGTCTCGCGAAGTAGTCGGTGCGTCGAGTGCGTTCGTTGGTTGATCGGACGCGTGTCGACGCGCGTCGTGACGGTGTGTGTCCGCAACCACCCGATCGTTCCCTACGAAAAAGTTCTCACACATCATCTCGCCCCGTCCCGTCTGATCGCACTCGAACACGCGTTTCGATCTCCGCTCTACAATGTTCTGGGAAGGTGTCACGGACTCCTGCGAAGTGTGCCAATGCACAAGGTACAGACACACGTACATTGGGATACATTCGGTCGCTCGGACCCTTCGGTTCCGACGGACCACGCCGGTTTCTCGCTCGCCGGTGGACTCGGACGTGTTCAGTGAATTTTAGTGAGGTTAACTCGATAACGCTGTCGAGCGCGATCGAGTCGCGCGGAATTGGGAATTGGCGCGAAATCGATGGGGATAGACGTAGCTCTCTGTGATCGGAATGTCTCGGATTCCATCGGGATATTATTGCTTCGAAATATTTGTGTACGACGGAATCTATTCTTGGTTCGGATAACGGGATGAGATTTATTTAGTGTTTATCAGTTGGGAGTTTGAGTTCGCGTATGTAGATTTATTAGGTAAAATCTCGTTTCTCGAAACAATTGCGTCGCTCGATAGTTTGAACTTCCGTTGAGTAGTTTGAACTACATTTTAATATGAAAGTGAATGTAATAGGAGTTTTTTGGTAGTTTATGTTGATTCGAGTGTGTTTAGAATTTTTGTAGGTTAATGGGAATCAACGGGAATTAACGTGAATTAGCGTGGACGAGTCACGTTCGTCTCGTGTTTCGTAGTTGTGGGAATGTTAGGTTAGGTCGAGCGTGGTTTCGACTGCGTCTCGAGTTGGCGTCGGTGATTCGTTTCCGTTTACGCGCAGCGGTTCGTGTATTCTGAAGGTTTGAATGGTTTTGCAGGCTCTTCAAAGATGCCTTCAAGTTCAAGAACACGCCGGAGAGCTCGGTGAAATCTGGGCCGAAAGCGAGACGACTTCTTGGCACGGCGTTCCGACATTTGCCGAGAACGGAACCGGTCTCGCCATCTGCCGAGAAGGAGAATAACAGTTCTGGCTGCAGCCCGCGCGGGAATAGCCCACAGAAGGTAAGCGTTTCGATTTGAATCGATGTTAACGTTACGGATGTTGCAACGCGGTTTGTTCTATTTTTCTAGGAAAATTAGTGCTCGGTTTTAGACTTTGGAAACTCGGGATTTAACACTTGGAACTCTAGATGATTTTGTAATCTTGCAACTGCGACTAATTTTTATAGTGTTCATAGTGAAAATTAAAAATGCTATAATATTTTAGTAGTTTCTTTGTTAGTTTTTGTAGTTTCTTTGATTCATTAAAATATTTAATATTATTCCTGGTGCAATATTGGAACCCAGAGTTCAAAGGGTTAAAAATACTGCTAGGACACATAGTCTCAATTGTTTAGAAATTGCTCAGTACTTGGAAGTTATAGTATTTTATATATTTACATTAAAGTTACACCTATAATAAAAAAAATACGTTACATAGTGGTCATTGAATTTCATATTGGAAGGGAAACTTTGAAAATCAATATATATCTATTGCTTAACTTTTCTATATTTTATTTTTTAATGATCAATTTAACGTTTATAAAATTCAAAACACGTCAGTACGACGCATTCCATATACCCAGAGGTAACAAAACCAATAACATCTCTTCGTTCTGTCACAGATGCCCGGCCTCGGTAAAAGATGCCGCTACCCGCTGGAAGATTGCGACCCGAACAGCCAAGACAGCGGGTACGAGGCGAGTTACCTAGAAAAGGAAGAAAAGTCTCGAGAAGTATTTCGATTTTTGGAACCAATGGCCGTCGCCCCGCGGCGAACGTCGATCGAATGTCGCAGTCCGGTAGAATCTCCGGTGCGATCGTCGCCGCAACGGATACGCGCGGTGCGATCCTCCCTCTTCCGCACCGTCTCCTCCGGCTACGAGAGCATGGACGACGGTTTCAACGATCTGATCGACGCCGAGCCTCTCGAGGACGCGAGCCGTCATTCGCTACCTGAAGACATTTCCTCTCTACTTTGCGGCGACATCATCATGGGCATCGGTGACCCGCTCTCCGACTCTCCGTCCGCGGCGAAGATGGAATCGAACAGCCCGAGCACGCCGGAGTTCCCGCGCACGAATCGCACCGACAACTTCAGACGTTCGATCTCTCTGCAAACCGAAAAGCCGGAAACGCGAAAGAATTCCTCCCTCTCGAAGGTGCGCTCCTGCCTGTTCCGCTCGCCGAACGCAGCCTCGTCGACGACCGAGCTCACCTGCGACTCGCACCGATCGGCAGCCGCGTGCTCGACCTACTCCATCGCGAGTCCCATCGCGGCGACGACGACCTCGACGATGATGGTCACAGTGCCCGCGGCGCACCGACGGCGAATCGACTACGCCGACGAGAACACGAGCATCGGCGACTTCGAGTCCTCCCCGACCGTCAGGACGTTCAAGAGACCGGACCCACCGATCGACGATAGCCCGAAACTAGTCAAAAAGTCGCGGACGTCCGGCAGCAGCATCTTCGACGCGATAAGACACTGTCGCTCGATCGACGCTTCGCCGTCCGGCGCGCGGTTCGGCGGCATCCCCTTCCAGAGGAGCTTGTCCGACGCGTCGGCGACGATCACGGTGATAGAGCCGGTGGCGACGAAGGCCGACGACAAGATCGAGATCGAGACCGCCGCTGAAACTGAGACTGAGAACCACGCGCTCATCGAATCCGCGATTCACCGCAGCACCACCGACAACGATCTCACCGGCGACTTCAGCAAGCCCTGCGTCCTACCGTTGGCCGTCGGCCACCACGAGGATCTGAAGTCGATCTCGACGGAGACGCTGGCCGCCCTGATCCGCGGGGACTTCAACGATCGCATCGGCTCCTTCACGATCGTCGACTGCCGTTATCCCTACGAATTCGATGCGGGCCACATTCAAGGGGCTCTCAACCTGTACAGCAAGGACCTGATCGAGCGGAGTCTACTGGAGCCCCTGACGAACGCGCCCAAGATTCAGCCGGACACCAACAAGAGGAACATCCTGGTGTTCCACTGTGAATTCTCGTGGGAACGCGGCCCGAATTTGTCGCGGTTCCTGCGGAGTCTGGACCGGCGACGGAACAAGGAACATTATCCTGCCCTTCATTACCCGGAAGTGTATCTGTTGCACGGTGGCTACGAGCAATTCTACCGCGAACACAAGGGACTGTGCCTGCCGCAAGGCTACCGGCCGATGAGACACCCGGACCACGAGGCGGACCTCAAGCAATTTCGTAGCAAAAGTAAGAGCTGGCACGGCGAGAAATCTAGGATCACCGGTTTCACGACGCGGACCAATCTGAGGCGCTTAGGCTTCTGAACGCGTGTCCGAAATTCTCTCTTCACCGGCCAACATTTTTCGTTCCTCTTTTCGAGTACAATTTCTTTGTTTCCACTTGGGACTGAACCGAACCGAACCGTTGCACGACCAGAAGATTGTACTAAAAAGCAAGCACCACCACCGGATCATTATCTTGAAGTACTTTTCCTCCTATCGTCACATGTACATAGCTTGTCTCGCATTTAATACGCTTACATTACTTAGTGAATTTTAGTACAAGGAAACGGAAAACGCTTATATTTCCATCGACGAGTAACACGAATGAATACTGTGCGGCGTACGGGAGAAGAACTCGCGTCGTTGCGAATCTGGCGCGCGTCGATGCTCTCGCGCGGACTTGGACGTATGCGTGATATGCGTGAATACCAATGGGAACGATGGAACGCTCAAACTAGATCGCCAAAGGACAAGGGCGGGTCCGTCGAATATTTGGCAATATTTGCGGCGGGCTCGCCATCTTTGTGTATTCAACTTCTAATTTCTGGTCAGACCTTGCGATCTCGTCGTCGTCGTCACGTTCCTTACGTGAATCCTGTCGCGCGCGCGCATTACTCGCTTTATCTGTTGTGTAATGCACTCGGCGGTTCAAGACAATTGTTGTATAGCCAAAGTTCAGCGTGTTCGCGCACGCCTAGAAAAAAAAATATTTTTTTATTATGTATTTCTATGGTACAACACGCGCTAAAATCTTTTATGATCAGAGATTTAAATTGTTCTTTTTACGTGCAAATTTCATTTAGTTACATGTACGTGTGTGTTGAAGGAATGAACGAATGCGAATGAACGTATGAACGGACGGGTCGGATGGTCGCGGACGGATGAAGAAGCGAGGGGAGACGGGCAACTTTAGGTTTACCAATCGTATGTATGACACGTACATGTTTAAGCTATGTATCTATATATAGATGTATATTAAAAAAACATTATTACGTTATGTATGCTTCTTTTAGTCTGCAACGCCCATTCTACAACCACCCTACAACCATCCCTTACAGAAGAATCGAGTGAGTATAGTCTCAACGTTTCTCTTTTACACTTTATTTTTCTTTGGTAGCTCAGCAACGAGACAAGCGAAGATTACTGCTCTTGACCTCGCACGAAGGACAATGGAATATTTGTAATTAACACTAGGTTTACGGACATTTATTGTACGGTTTATGTTACTGTTCCTAGAAAAATTCATGTTGGTTCTATTCGGATTTTGGAAGGTAGATGTTTAAAAATAGATAATTAAGGTACACTGGTAATTGCATCAATCAAAGGCATAAAAATTTACCAAATAGTATTTATAAACTTCAATATGCGTTAAATTATGCGTCCCGTAAACCTAGTATTAAGAGTTTCCTTCAGCAGTAGACAATAGAATCAACCTGTTTTTATCGTAGATAACTACAGAGTTAAATCAAAGAAATCTATGACGTCACCGAGTACTTGCTTATCTCCGATAATACATAATATATGTCCTTGTAGTAGTAGGCCATTTACGTGGACTCTCATTACCGTTCTCTAAAGACTGCGTTCATCAAATAGAATCAAACGCAGTGTACACGACGTTAAGCTACCTACATTCGACTCTGCAATAAACTTAAAAAGAATTCGTTTTTCAATGAGAATTCCAGGCGGCCCGAAAGTTCAGGGTCGTACACGCCCCGCGCGGCGCGGAACGCGTCGAAGAATAAAAAGCACGCGAACAGCCGAGACGGAGACGCGAGTTCTTCATTAAGCAGAAACGAAGGAAACGTTACGTTCCGTTTAATTTGCAGCGAATGAAACGACACGAACGGGAACCACGTCGAGCGCGGCGCTGTGAACCGACCATAGAGTATTACGTCGCGAGAGGAAGCTCCGTTCCTTCGACGAAACTGTTTGCCATGAAACGATCGAACCACGGTTAAATCGTCGAGCCATTTGATTGGTGTACAAGGTATGCGCTAAAGTGAAAAACCAAATTAGCAGCTCCAATTAGATCTGAATCTTGACCAAAGAAAGATCCGACCGGGCCGATAACACCTTGATAAAAATACCGACGAAAGTTCACGCTCCGAACGATAACGATCTGTATATATATATTAATCGTGTACTTCCAGTGTCTTCCATTCCGTTCTCTGTTTGGTCCGTGGGCTTCGGGAATGAGACTGCTTTCGTTCGCCGGTAAGTAATCATTTCTACCGACGCTTACATAAAGAACAGCTTTCATCGCGATCTAGTAGATCGTAGACTCTGCCGGCGTTATCGCGTGCCGACAATTGACGATCATTTGATTGCGTGGTAACAACGATAAGCGTTGCTCTACTAATTGGACGTTATTCTTCCAGCGAGATTGATTGCGAGGAAACCTCCAGTCGAAGTTACTCCGCGTTTCGCTTCATCCATGGCTGACTCGCTGAAAACCCACGGCGTCGTGCCGGACGTGATCGACAAGGCTCCGGCGAAGTTGCTGAGCGTCGTTTATCCGAATAACATCACCGTGGACGTCGGCAAAGTCCTGACCCCGACGCAGGTCAAGGATCCACCCACGGTCACCTGGGACTCCGAAGCGAACGCGTATTACACTCTGTGCATGACCGGTACGTATTTTCGAAGATGGCTGTTTCGGACGTTGTGTAATGCATCTATGTAATATACCGCTGTGTTGTAATTTATCTGTGTGTAATTGTGATGTATATATTGGTTGCTGATAATCGTCTCTGTCGCAGATCCCGACGCGCCGAGCCGGCAGGAGCCGAAATTCCGGGAGTGGCATCACTGGTTGGTGGGGAACATTCTCGGCGCGGACGTTTCCAAAGGAGAGGTCCTCTCCGAGTACGTCGGCTCCGGCCCGCCAGAGGGTACAGGGCTCCATCGTTACGTGTTCCTGCTGTACAAGCAGCCCGGCAAGCTGACGTTCGACGAGAAACGCCTGACCAATCGAAGCGGGGACGGCCGGCCAATGTTCTCGATAAAAAAGTTCGCTGCGAAGTACAAGCTCGGCGATCCCATTGCGGGGAACATGTACCAGGCGGAGTACGACGACTACGTTCCCATCCTTTATAAACAGCTGGGAGCATAGAATCCCTCGATTTATTCCACACGTTTTTGCATATTGTTCTACCGACACACCTTATTAAATGTTATGTCACTGTAACCGAAACTGCTCTTTTTTTTTTGATAACGTAGAAGTACGTACTCGAGGACGTAGCTTTAACTCATTTGCATCGCGATAGCGGAGAACTGGTTCTCGCAAATGTTTCATGCATCCAAAAAAATGGCTCAAAATGTACGAAAAAATAATGTAGCCACACGGCAATGGCGCTGATAAAATGTATCTCTTTCTGATGCAAATGGGTTGAAGATATACCACGTGTCAGTGTTGAGAAAATAGGAGGACGAGGACGTATCGAGGGAGTGTTGGATATGGAGACAGACGTAAAAGAAAGTGGGAGCTCGTTAATGTTCCGACTTCGGGCACGATGTGCTATAGTATGGTAGGAAAGGAAAAGTTGCTCAGGTGAGAGGCGGCGTCTGGAAGGGGAATCTTAAAGGGGAAATAAAACCGTTCGGCGAAGTTGTTCGGCCCGCAGTCTCCGAGTACCAACCGTGTAGTCGACGAAGGAACCATGTATTCTGTAATCGTAGGTTCGTAGACGTCACTGTTCCAGTAACGGAACTCTCTCGGACGAACGCGCTGGTCGTGCGAGAATATTCTAAAGTAATCGCGCGGCCGATTCGTTTCAGGAATCGTTTGCGGTTTCCATATAATCGTCGCAGCGAACGTCCAGTCGGAATTCGAGGGAGCGAAAATTGTGCCGGATATAATCGACGTAGCGCCTACCGAGAAAATCGAGGTACGACGAACGTTCGGTATACTGTGTGCAGTCCAACGTTCTGATTAGCAGCGTCTAATCCGACCGGATCGGATCCGTTGATCGTGTGTCTTTATTGCGTGATTCAGGTCAGCTATGGAGACAAAGCGGTCAACTTCGGGAACGAATTAACGCCGAGCGAGACGCAGCAGATCCCTCAGATCCATTACAAACACGAGGGAGGAGTCCTCTACACGCTCGTGCTGACAGGTAAACCTATACGATTCTGAAATTCCGGTTCGCATCGATTTCTCACGGTCTCCGAGAGGTATGATCACCGATTTCGCTGCGAGAAATCGTTCGAATCGAGGCGTTGTCAGCGTCTGATCGCGTGTCTTCGCAGATCCCGACGCGCCGACGAGGAAGGGATACAATCGGGAGTTTCGACACTGGCTCGTGGGAAACATACCGGAGGAGAACATCGCGAAAGGAGAAGTCCTCGCCGAGTACGTGGGCCCTGCTCCGCCCAAAGGCAGCGGCAAACACCGATACGTTTTCCTGGTTTACAAGCAGAATCAAGGGTCCATCACGTTCGACGAGAGAAGACTGAGTAACAGGTGAAACACCATTGGATCGTTTGTAATTCCCGAAGACTGGAGAGTCCTGGTGAAGGAGTACTGATGCGATGGTTTCGTTCCAGGGACGGCCAGCAGCGGAGGCGATTCTCTATAAAGAAATTCGCGGAGAAGTACAGCTTGGAAGGGCCGATAGCAGGGAACTTCATGGTAGCGGAGTACGACGACAACGTGCCGAAATATGCGAAGCTGCTAGGGTTTTAAGTGCGGGACCGGACGTCTCGCAACCGAACAGTAACACGGGTGATGGTACAAAGAATTAGTAGGCTCGGACTCGCGATCTACGGCGCAATCGTTGACGGGGACACGCTGGATATAATAAAGTTTCAATTATAAACAGATACAAATCAATCGGTCGATTCGTTTATTTTCGTTGACGTCGTTATAAATATAAAATGTACCCTATCCAGATATCGCGACTCGGTTCGCCGCGTGGCCCGAGCGAAGACGTTGTTCCGCGAACGTTCTTCCAGCTCGGTCCTTCGCGCGTGCCACTCGTTCAGCGAGTTAAAGAGGTTACAGGCGTTCCCGTAAGCTCGACGGAGTCGCGACAGCCAATGCACGCCGGGTCGTGACGCTGTCGAATCTGCCCGTGACCGAACGAGGCGCCATCTTGTCGGGTACGTTCGCGATGGAGTCGTCAACGCGCGAGTCGAGCGAGTCTCTCTCGACGACACGAAACAACCGTTGCTAAGGAGATCGCGTGAGAACGATTCGAATTTCGGCTTCGAAGGAACTTGCACGAGAAACAGAGTATCTCTCATCGGGAAGGGAAACAAAGGAAAATAAACGCGAACTCGCGGGACGCGGGCAAGCTCTCGTTGTCCAGCGACTTTCACGGGAACCCGTGGAACGAACTCGACGCAGCGACTCGATCGCTCGTCGGTTTCAAGGTAGAGCGAGGTCCGGATTGACGGTCATGTTCCAGCAGAGCCGGTGGTCTCGCACGTCTCCCCATCCGCCGTTGCCCTTCCTTAACTTCGCCTTTTTCGCGGTGCCGGCTACGGTGAGCGTCAGTTGAGTAGGAAAGAGATGCTGCTGGGCGGCCTTCAACACGTTCTGGACCTTGGCGATGGCGGCGGTCGATTCGCAGTTGGTCTTCTTATGGTGAACGCCGCTGCAACGAGGACGTCCGTTTACGGGAGCGCCGGGTATAAATAGAACAGAGCGCGACGAACGCGGCCAGTACTCACCATTCGCCGATATGGAAAACTCTGGGTGCTCTCATCATCATCGTGATCAGGCCGGATTCGGTCCGAGGCGCGACGCCGGCCCCCTTGCTCGGCGGCAGGCAGGACTGGGCTATGTGTTGCAGGCTCCAGTCCCAGTTGTAATCGTCGTAGGAACAGAACTGCGCGGCGCACTTTCTCAACTTGTTCCAAGTGACGCGACTGAACGCCATGCCCATGTTATGTTTGCTCGATATCCAAGGGATTACCTCGGCCTGTCGAGAACGATAGGATACGTTCATCGAGCGCGTACATTCTCGTCGGTCGGAGGGATAGGAAATAGAGTATCGTCGCGGGGCGATCCGTGCGTGGCGTGGCGTGCGTGCGTGCGTGCGTGCGAGCGCGCGCGAGCGAGCGGTTTATTGTCCAGGTTTCTCGAGTGTCGAATGAAACATTTTTTCTTTTTGAAACAGAACGGACGCGATACGGGAAGGCGCGCGTGCGT